TTTAACAAAATTTGAAAAGAAAAACTGATTACTTTGTAATAATTATCTCATTTTTGAGCATTTCTTTAATGAATTTGTTGAAAACAAAAAAATGTTTTTAGTAAAAGTTCCTTTAATCATGTTTGGTATTGTGTTAAATGAAATATCTAACTAAAATATCGTACATAACAATTAATTAGGGATATGTACTTGAATACACTTTAGAGGGATAAGTATAGTTATTTTATTCGTTAAAATCACAAAAATAAATTTGTACTTTAATTTTTAATTTAATAAAGTAAAATTAAAATTGTAAGCATAGTTTTATATGGTTGAATTCAAAAATCAATTTAGGGTAACAATTATTAATTATTAAAAGGATTAAAATAACCAATATACATACATCATTAAATATTAATATTATTAAATATATTAATTAAATTAATTAAAATTTACTATTTGTCACAAATTCTTATAAATAAGAATACACAACATATTTAATTATTGATAATCGTATATACTTTAACTGTTATTTACAATAATTTTTTTAAATTTAATGTTCTATTTGTATTATTTACAATTATTTGTATTATACATTTTAGTTATCATTAGTTTATATTTTATATTATTGTTAAATTCGGCTAGCAGGAAGCTATCTATTGAATTTAATACATTCTTAGTTAATCTTCTTCTGAAATAAAATTAATTTAAATAAATAGATAGAATTGTATAATTCATTATTTGTTTCATAATTAAATTAAGAATATAAAATGAAAAAACTGAATTTTTAATTCATCATAGAAAAAAGGGTGAATAGGCGTAATCAAATGAATTGTTGATTTAAATGGTATTTATTTAAACAAAAATTATATATTTACTCTAGAATTACATGCCAATCATCAGAATTATGTGTAACCCGGCTTTAACTGATAGACACTGGATTGAGATGTCTGAACTGTCAGGATTTAACTTAACTCCAAATGCTGGCACGACACTGTCAAAAATCATTGATTTAAATTTAGAACAACTACTACCTCAGTAAGTTCATATTTATATTTAAAAAAAATTAAACTCACTAATATTCAGTTATTTGAATACTGTAAGGTGTAAGGTCTGTACTAGTGCCACTGTAAGAACGTGAATTATTTGCGCAATCAAATGACGCTACGCAGTCCACGGTTTCGCACCCAAATTTTTCTTACTCCACCAGTAGTCATCGCCGTAAAGTGGTAGCGACAGTGGCGGTGGCCAGCGTTCGGGAAGGTTTAGTGGTGGGAATGAGCGAAATCGGACGAATTTTGGTCGTCGCCCAGTAGCGTTCTTACGATGGCTTTAGTATATACATGAACACAAACATAACCATTAATCCAGCACTTAAACGGTTAACGCACAATAATGATTATTATGTAATTTTATTTAGGACGGTTAAACCACGTTATGACTTAAATTAATAATATAAATCTACATTATATTATTGTTTAGTAGTATACATAAATAATTTTTAAAATGGTGGGGTTAGTTTTTTTTTTTTGAGGATGGATACATTACACGCTGTAATGATAATATGTTGGTACCTAACAAAATTGATTATTATACATCATATTGGTGAATATTTTCTTTCTTTTTAAAATACGTGCAGTAAATAAGTGTTACTATGAACTCTATAGTGTATTTCTAATGAATACATTGGTAGTCAAATAAAAAATAACTAAATTATTATAATTGTGTGTTGATGTGTTTTACTGGTAATGACTGAAAGAGGAATGGATTTTGGGAACAATAACAAAACACCAAATATTCATTTTTAATTTATCGTACTTTCACTATCTTAACTAATAAATTTCAAATTACATCTCTATTACACATTAAGAAATTCAAAAACACTATTAATCTCTTAGTGCAATGGAGTGTTAGTTAGTTCATCTTCAGCCAACACAAACAAACTGGATGGATTACCCACGTGACAACAGGCTACGTATAATTTTCGTTGTGAAAAACACGGTGTGTTCAAATCCAAGCCACAAACAGACATCTTTTGGCCTTGAGACTTGTTGATTGTCATTGCGAATAATCAATTTAATTGGAAATTAGGATATCTGTGGAAATAATAGAGATTTGTGGTAGTAATATATCTTATTCTCGGAACTTGCCATTCAAATGCTGGCTTCGATAACATTTTTCATTAATTTTTTAATGACTAATTGAATGCCATTGCATAGCCTTGGTGGGTTCAAATTACGAATCAAAATTATAGGAGATTCAACTTTTAATCGTAAATGGTGGAATGCCTGGCAAATTCAATGAGTTCAAAAACTCTGCTGGACAATTTACAGTTTCATTGGTATCGTAAACTGTATCGATAGATTTGTATGACACCAAGTCCCCTGGCAACAACTGTTGTGTCTTGAAATTAAAATCATTGACATCCAGATTTTTTGCTGCCAAAATTGCTCTTTCTGCCAGCCACTCAGAGTTTAAGTATCGTGTTAGTATAACCTGATACGGTCCGTCGATTCCCGACGTTCCGTGATCGTGGATAATTATACGCATGGTTGTTTTATGTACCTACATTTCGTTGGTTTATTGTGCGATATGAATTATATACATTAATATATGTGAGGGAAGATGGTTCCGGGCCGTGCGGTTGGCTTAAAGAAGCGGGCCGCGACGGGCAGTATCTATCGGGCCTGCAGAGGCAAAATTGAAAATACAAATACTGGGACTTACAATTTAGTATTATTAACAATTATATAATAAGAAAGGGGATGAGTTAGAATCATTCTCCCACGGTCTCTTATAAGTCGTGTTTGATTTGATATTATCTCACAGTGATACCTGAGCAGGCACACCGAGGATGGGATACCAGATTGGTGGTTCTGAAAAGAACCGTTTCTTTTTGGTCGCGATGGTATATCGACCGTTAGCGCATTAACAATGCTAGCAGTTGTGCGCGTATTCGTCAACGCCGGAGACTGCCTTGTATATCGAATGTCCTCGCTGCTGCGTCGATGGTTTCGTGCGTGGTAATCAAGTATGTTGTGCTTGTTGGTTGCCACCTCGTATAACGAGTGTCTTCGCCGCTACGCCAATGGCCTTGTCCGTGGTGTGACCGGGAACGCTGCGCTTGTCAGTCGCCGTTTCGTGTAATGAGTGTCTTCGCCGCTGTATCAATGACTTCGTCCACGGTGTAGGCTGGAACGCTACGTTGATGAATTCTTGATGTGTCTTGATTCCTTCTGTAGTTCGGTGTGTGTAAGTTTGAACTGATTGAAGGATTATTGAAAACTGTATTGATTATGCTAAATCGTCCGGTATATAAGTCGTCTGCCGTACTGACTAGTAAACTATCTGCTGCCGCCGTGTTTAGTTGTGTTTACCCATGGTGTGGTACGAGAAATTCTGTAGTTAACTCTGTTTTGGAGTTATTGACGTGGTGAGGGATCGTTGGATTCGTCTTACTCTCCCCTATATGCAACCCTTATTGTTTTTGGTGTGTTGTTATTTGGGGCTTTATTATTGTCCTAATGTTGGTCTGTGGGGTTTGTGCTGTCATACTGTCCGCTGATTGGTGGTCCTGAAAAGGACCGTTTTATGTGGTGACTGCTACTCCGTTACAAACCCATAACAACCATTAATAAACAAAAATTTATATCGTAAATCTAGATGACTCCGTTTAATTTGCCTTTTAAATATGACAACCTTTAAAAAAATTGTGATCGTTTAAATACTTTTGGATGTAATTTGCAGCAGGAAGTGCGATTCAGCCACCCTGGCATAGGAAATCCCTAGATAAGGGGCTATTAGTACAACTCGCCCTACTTTAAAATACTAATTTGTACTAATTATTTCGCCTATAATCAATAGAAACCATTTTTAACTAATGGCAACCAATAATTATTACAATAGCTTTAAAACCCATGGCAAGCATTTATATCGTAAATCTCAAAGACCTACCAAATATTTAATATACACAGAAAATTTAATGAAAATCGGTCAAGCCGTTTTGGAGGAGTTCAATAACTAACACTGTAATACGACATTCTTATATATTAGATATATTACTATTTATCTAAGAACAGTATATTAAAATATCTGATGCATAAAACTAACCATTAGTCACTCATGGATTAATATGAGGAGTAGGATAGTTTAATCTCACCAATTGTATGAGCCAAATTTTGGCTCAACATCTAAAAACGACGTGATAAATTTTCTATAAATTGTTGATAATTTACCAATCATTTGATATTTTCGTTACACAAGTCAAATATTTGAATTTTGTTATATTTAGAGTCTAATAAAAGTTTAAAATGTATAGATTCATGGAAACATGTTTTCTGTTCACTTATATATGGTATAAATTTAATTAAAATTTATATTGTCATATTGAAATATATCTGTACTATTAAAAAAAAATAATATTTTATGTGAATAATTTTGAAGTAAAATTGTTGTAGTTCTTATTATGAAGTTTTCATAAGTGATATTAAAATTATTCAGTTGTTAATTATTTATTATTTATTTAATTATACTTATAAAAAATATATTAAATACCATAGTTAAATAATTTTTGTGAACACTTCGTGAAAATCAAACAAAGCGAAGASTCGTTAAAAGTTGTGTTATTATTTGACATTCAAAAGATTCGATGAAATGTTGTTTTGATCCTGTTTGAGTTGTATATTAACTGTATTTGTTCTACCTTCATAAAAATCTAATAAAATTAAAAGATCAAACAAAACAAAGACAGTTTGAAAACTTGTAAAAAACAAAAAAAAATATAAGACAATACATTTTTTAATCGTTATCAATATATTATACTTCGTTGTTGATATTAAACATCGTAAAATAGGTATGTCAATAATATTATTTATAGTTAGATATGAAGTAAATCAGATATACCCTTAGTATAAGTACCTATATTAGTTGTATTAGTGATACACTTAGTTTCTAAATAATTTGTATAKGTTTGACGTCATCAGTATTGGCGCCACTAAAGAAGAACAATTAAGAAAGTCGTTACAAAAAATGCAAGAAGATTGGAAAACTATTGAACTATGTATCAGTCCGTACAAGTATGTTTTTTTAAGAGGCCGCAACTTAACTATTTGTTGACTCCATGTAACAAGTACCTACATCGGGCTACATAATATTGCACATTTACAATCGGCATATCACGAACTTTTTGCAGGTTGGATCAAAGCCTGAATTTTCATTTCACATTAAATATCGTTTGAAAAATATGTTTGAAATTTAATAAGTATTGTGTTTATTCAATTGCATATTTTGGCTTCTATAGTTATAATTATAACTTATAATTTTAAAAATCGGGGTTTGTTCCAACCTGCGAAATGTTCACATGTTTAAAATAAAAAAAAAAGCAAAATTGACGTTATCCAATTATTATACTGGGTTTAAGATTTTTTCCTGTATTACATGTTTTCTACTAATAACGAAGTTGCTCCGACACCCTAACATTAATCAATTTAAGTAAATACTTAAAGTTTTTGAAATAATAATTGTACATAATGAATTTTTTCCTACATTTTTAAGGGATACAAAAGTAAATATATTGTCTGGGTTAGATAGTATCCAAGCATTACTCGATGATCATTTCATTAAGACTATATCGATTCGGGGTTCAGCGTTTGTAAAACCTATAGAAAGTGAAGTAAAAGAGTGGTTTGATAAGGTGAACCGAATGAATTCGACACTTGAAGAATGGGCAAGTGTGCAAATGCGATGGCTATACCTCATGCCAATATTTAATTCCAAAGATATAGCTGCTCAAATGCCTGAAGAAGGATCTCTGTTTAACGTAATATTATTTTTTGTGGTATAGTCAAGTGAATATAATAATTATAAATTTCACGTTTAGGAGATTAATATGATTATAAAAGGACTAATAAGTATGATCAGTTCTCGTCCATTGGCCATTAAATGTGTTGGTCGAGAAGGTGTTCTAGAATCATTGTTTAAATGTACCCAAATGGCGGAATCTATTAACTTAGGAGTTAATAACTATTTGGAAAAAAAACGATTGTTTTTTCCCAGGTTAAACTACAATTGAAACTTAAAATATTACATTTTAAAATTATGTAATAAATATACAATTCAAATTTAGATTTTATTTTCTTTCAAATAATGAAATGTTAGAAATTTTATCTGAAACAAGAGATCCAAAAAGAGTTCAGCCTCATTTAAAAAAATGTTTTGAAGGAATTTCCAAACTTGAGTTTAATGATAATTTGGATATTTTGAAATTTTTAAGTAGCGAGGGTGAAGAAATAGTACTCAGTCAATTTATTTCGACTGTTGAAGCCGGAGGAAGTGTTGAAAAATGGCTATTTCAGGTTATTTCCCATTTTTCATTTTTCATTTTCTATTAATAATAATTTATTTTTAGTTGATTATTTAATATTTTAATCATTATCATTTAATATACCTAGGTAGAAAAACAAATGGTAATATCAATTAGAAATTTAATTGAAAACGCTTATAATGAATACTCAATCATAGAACGAACAATGTGGGTACAAAAATGGCCAGGTCAATGTGTTTTAAGTGTTACTCAAATGTTTTGGACTGCTGAAGTTCACGATATATTTATTGTACAAAAACCCGGCCAAATGCAAAATTACCATAAGTTTTTGACTGTATTTTTTTTCAATTGTTTATACATTTCACAATGTTTTATTTTTATCAATTTTGGTTATAGAAACAATTAGAAGATATTGTAAATTTAGTACGTGGTAAATTGAATAAACAAAGAAGAATAACTTTAAGTACTTTAGTTACATTAGATGTTCACAGCAGAGATGTTGTTAATGAGTTAGCCAACAACAACATTTGTCATGATATGGATTTTAAATGGCTAAGCCAGTTAAGGTGGTACCTCGTTTTTAAAATTTTTTTTTTAAATTGAACGTTATCTCATTTCTAATCATACGTTGATTATGTGTTTAGATATTATTGGGAAGATGATGCCTTGGCACGCATTACAAATGTAACTATAAAATATGCGTATGAATACTTAGGAAATAACCCTAGACTTGTTCTCACACCTTTAACGGATAGGTGTTATCGTACTCTTATCAGTGCTTATCATTTGCACCTATATGGTGCACCTGAAGGGCCAGCAGGTACTGGTAAGACAGAAACTATAAAAGATTTAGCAAGGGCTTTGGGATTCCAATGTGTAGTGTTTAATTGCTCCGAGAGACTTAATTACTTGGAAATGAGAAAAGTACTTATATAATTATATTTAAAAATGTATTTAAATATTGTTAAACTAATTAAATAAATATATGTGTTATAATTTTCTTAGTTTTTCAAAGGGTTAGCTTCATCCGGAGCTTGGATTTGTTTTGACGATTTCAACCGTATTGATATTGAAGTATTGTCGGTGGTAGCGCAACAAATCTTAGGTATACTTCAAGCAGTGAGAACAAACGTTGAAACATTTTTCTTTGAAGGTACCGAAGTAAAATTGAATCCAAGGAGTTATGTATGCATTACTATGAACCCAGGATATGTTGGAAGATTCAATCTTCCTGATAATTTGAAGGTTTAAAATAATAAAATTTTAACATCACGAAAAATCAAAATCTGTGTTATTATTCACAGGTTTTATTTAGAACTGTAGCTATGATGGTGCCAGATTATGCAATGGTTAGTGAAATTGTATTATATTCTTATGGATTTAAGAATGCAAGAGAGTTATCTATTAAAATTGTTACTACGTACAAATTATGCTCGGAACAATTAACAGTTCAACCACATTATGATTACGGTATGTTTCAAGAAAAACCCGTGTGATAGCCTTTGTAAATAATATTTGTTTATTATGGCAATAGGTATGCGAGCCGTTAAAGCTGTACTTATAGCAGTAGGAAATTTAAAGATGAAATTTCCTGAAAATGACGAGTCAGAACTTTTGCTTAGATCTATTTTGAATGTGAATTTAGCTAAATTTTTAAACAAAGATGTAATTTTGTTTAAGGGAATAATATCTGATTTATTTTCTGATGTTAAATTACCAAATTCCTCACATGAAAATTTGATTTCTTCTGCAAAAATTGTAAGCAAATATTAAAAATACAGTAATGGTAGTATTGTATGTTACTATTTATTTAGACATGTGAGAAGATGCATTTACAACCAATTGACACTTTCATGGAAAAACTTATTCAAACCTACGAAATGATGGTTGTTAGGCATGGCTTTATGTTAGTTGGCAATCCATTTGGAGGCAAGACTTCAGTACTTCATTTACTCGCGCAAACTTTAAATTTACAAAATAAACTGAACCATGGAGAGGAAAAGGTCGAATATGAAACAATAAATCCTAAAGCATTGACTATTAATCAACTTTACGGTTATTTTGATGATGTATTGCATGAATGGACTAACGGGGTTATAGCTAATACGTTTAGGTATGTATTTGTTTAACATGTTTAAACATGCTGTTGTGTTATAAGTGTTTAAACTACAATAAATATTTAATTTTTAGAAAATATTCAATGTCAGAGACTTCAGACAGGAAATGGTTGATATTTGATGGCCCGATTGATACTGTTTGGATAGAAAATCTAAACACTGTACTAGATGATAATAAAAAGTTGTGCTTAAGTTCTGGCGAAGTAATTTGTATGCCAGATAATATGTCTATGATATTTGAGGTTATCAACCTTACTCAGGTAAGGCATATAGTCTATTTATTCGTTAACATCGTAAAACTAAATGTGTATTTCTAGGCTTCTCCTGCTACTGTCTCTCGTTGCGGTATGATTTATTTAGATCCCTTAGAGTTGGGTTGGAGGCCATTAATTGAAAGTTGGATAAAGACTTGTCCAGAGTTATGGTCTTTAGATCAAAACGGAATAGATATAATGTGTTTATTTGACTGGATAACTCCTCCTTGTCTTAGCTTTATTCGCCATAGTTGTGTTCAACTAACTAATGCTGGAGAAACAAATATTGTTTTGTAAGTTAATCATTTATTGGGATTGGTGGTGGACAGTCTTTAAGCAGTTCCAATTAGGAATTTTTTAAATCATAATCATGTGGGTCATGTAAATATGTGCATAGTTAGTAAGGACTAGTATGTATGGTTGCGTGTAAAAGAAATAGTGGTAAACAATTAATTATTATTTGTTTAAACTTTTTGTCCATACTATGAATCGACTTATTTATGCAATATCATAATATCAGATAACTTATCTGAATTCGTTATGTCTAATTGAGATCAATAAGTCCACATTTTGAAATTTTCGTAGTTTCAAAATATTCAAACTAAATTTATAGTTGAGCTGGGGGAGGGGGAGACTAAAATCTAGAAAAGTGGACTGAACAATCTCAAGTAGATATAATAACAAATTCAAATCAATTTTAAAAAGTACTATCGTATCATTAGTTCGATTAGTGTGATGGACAAAATATTGGTGTGTATTGGCTAAAATAACTGTCCACTCTTGAATATTAACCTGATTTTACGATATCTCTATTATTTCTCCGTATCTTGGCAGAAACGTTTTAAATATACTGGAGATGCAGTTAAACAGTTCAAAAACTGATAATCCAGGTTTCAATGAACACTTTACAAATTATTTACAAGGATCTTTTGTGTATGCTTCTATTTGGGGTTTTGGTGGAACGCTAGATTCAAATTCACGACCAGCTTTTGATCATTTTTTTAAAGAACTTTGGAAGGGCAATATTCCTGGTTTGGGACAACCAGAAGCTTTAAGTTCATTAGACATTACGATACCATACGATGGAACATTATATGACTATGTATATAGTTGCACGTCTCGGGGATCTTGGAAAAATTTGTCTGAAGTTGTGAAAAATAATAAAATTGAAGAAATTAGTAATATTGAACAAACTTTAGTTCATACACTGGACACTGCTAGGTAATTTTTTTTAATAAAAACGCATCATATTTTAAAAATATTTTTCTATTTTTAGGTATATGCATTTAGTTGACATGTTTATCTCTCACCGTAAACCATTATTACTTTTTGGTCCTTCGGGAACTGGCAAAAGTTTATACATAAAAAATTATATGATGAATAAATTATCGTTAGACGAATACGTGCCATCTTTTGTTACATTCACAACACAAACATCTGCTAATTTTACACAGGAAATTATATTATCTAAACTCATAAAGCGCAAACGTGGTGTATATGGACCACCATCAGGAAAGGTTTGTGTTATCTTTGTCGATGATATGCATATGCCTCTAAAAGAACAATATGGAGCGCAACCTCCTATCGAATTATTAAGACAATTTTTTGACCATGGTTACTGGCATGATTTACATGATACTACCAAAGTTTATCTGAAAGACATTCTCTTGTTGTCTGCTATTGGGCCAATTAGTGGGAGTAAACAAGATGAGTATGCGAGGTTTTTACGTCATTTTGGATTGTTCGCTATAAATTCATTTGATGACGAAAGTATTACAACTATATACTCAACGTTACTTCAAATTGGATTAAAAGTATATTATAAATTAAAATTTATTTATATTTAAATTAAATTACGATTTAATTTCAGAAGAATGGTTTTACATTAGAAGTAGTACCAATTATTGATAGTATAATCAAATCAACAATTGATTTGTACAGATCAGCTATTAAGAATTTAGCTCCAACACCTGCGAAATCACATTACTTATTTAATATAAGAGATATTTCAAAAGTAACAAATGGAATACTCATGTTCCGCAAAGACAGCTTTACTAATCGAAAAGTTTTCGTGAGGTAAATTGTATTGAAAATGAAAGCATTTTGAACAATTATTATTATTTTTTTTTACAGACTGTGGGTCCATGAAGTGATGAGAGTATTCTATGACCGCCTTATTGACGATAATGATAGATATTGGTTATTCAATAAAATTCGTGTTTGCGTTAATATAAACTTTCAAGAAATGTTTGACGTAATATTTAATGATTTATCAGATTTATCTGTGCGTAATTGAAAATATGACTTAGCTGTGCTGCAAGAGTAATAATAATAATTTTGGTTTTTGATTTTAGCCAATTGTTTGCCAAGATATGTCAAATCTTTTATTTACAAATATTATTGATTTTGATGTATTGGAAAACAAAAAATATGAAGAACCGCCATCGTTATCAAATTTCGAAGAAAAAGCTCAAATTGTGATGGATGAATACGATAAGACACATGATTCAAAATTGAATATAGTTTTGTTTAAGTAAAATATTTTAATTTTTTTAATTTTGATAAATTTAAGCTTTGTTTTTACTGATTACACAGATATGCATGTGAACATCTTTCAAGAATTTGTAGAATCTTAACGATCCCTGGTGGATGTGCGTTATTAGTTGGAGTAGGTGGATCTGGACGTCAGTCTCTGACCCGCCTAGCTACGGCTATGTGTAACTTTAATGTTTTTCAACCCGAGATTACTAAAAGCTATGGATTAACGGAATGGAGAGATAATTTGAAAACGATATTAATCGAATCTGGTGGCAAAAATAATCCAACTGTATTTTTGTTCGCTGAAGGACAAATTAAAGAAGATTATTTTTTACAAGATATTGCCGCTTTATTAAATTCTGGAGAACTGCCAAATTTATTTACTTTAGATGAACAACAAAGTATATTGGAGGTATAACTATTATTGCACTGTCGCCTTGAACGTTAAGAATGAACGTATGAAACTTTTTGCAGATGGTTAGATTAGCTGCTCAAGGAGGGAATAGAAACTTAGATATTGCTCCATTGGTCGTTTTTAATTATTTTATAAATCGCTGCAAACAAAATTTGCATATATGTTTGTGCTTTAGTCCGATTGGTTCAAGTTTAAGGAATTATCTAAGAATGTATCCATCTTTAGTCAGTTGTTGTACAATTGATTGGTTTAATGATTGGCCAAATGATGCATTACAAATGGTTGCATATAAGTATTTGAAAGATGTCAATCTTTCTGAAAAAATTAAAAATTCTGCTGTTACTGTTTGTCAACGTTTTCATGTTGATGCTAGGTATGTGTTATTTGAATGAAATACATAATTAAAATAACTGTGTATATAGGTATCTATACTATTTTTATAGAAAACTGTCATTGGAGTTTTATTCAGCAACACGGCGTCGTACATATATAACATCAGCATCATACCTGGATTTAATTAAAGCATACACGGACTGCACTAATCGTAAGCAGAAAGAAATTATGGAAGCAAAAATGCGATATGTAGGTGGCTTACAGGAACTTGAGTATGCTACATTACAAGTAAGCCAGATGAAAGAAGATTTGTTTAAGCTTCAACCTCAGCTTCAACAAGCTCAAAAAGATACAGAAGAAATGATGATTATGATTTCTCGTGAGACGGTTGAAGTTGAAAAAGCAACCGCTCGAGTACAAGAAGATGAAAAAGTAGCAAACGTTCAAGCTGAAGCGGCTAATGAATTAAAAACAGAATGTGAAGCTGACCTTGCATTAGCCATACCGGTTTTAGAAGGTATGTTTATGCTTAAATATTATATTGTAATAACAGTTTTATTGTTAAATATTCGTAAATCATTGTATTGAATTAAAATTATTAAAATTTATAAAAATCGGCGGCGTTTAAAAAAAGTGTAGGCACCTATTTGATTATAACAATAATAATATTCACTATATTTTAAATTATAAAAATTACCTACACTCATGGTAAACGAGACTAAGTGTTACTCATCCTCCTTTATGCAAATCGGTATCTAGTGCTTTATTAATATCATTTTTTATAATATAGAAAACAATCAATCTTGAATTTAATAATAAATCTAATTGTGTAATATAAGATATGATATATGTATGTTTTTTAAATTTAATAAATTAAAATTGTCGAAAAATAAATTGATTTTGTTTGAACTTTATGGTCATATATAGATGCAATTGATGCTTTAAATACTCTAAAACCAACTGATATAACATTGGTTAAGTCTATGAAAAATCCTCCTGAAATGGTAAAAACTGTAATGGCAGCAGTATGCGTGATGAAAGGCGTTTCACCTGATAAGATCCCCGATCCAAATAAGCCAGGACAAAAGGTAATATCAATTTTACTTCTCCGCAATTCACAAATATATATGTGTTATAAATACAGAAAAATATGTTTATTAGATACTTGATTACTGGGGTCCTAGTAAACGCATTTTGGGTGATATTAATTTTCTGCAAAGATTAAAAGAATACGATAAGGATAATATACCTTCTCAAATTATGGCTATCATACGGAAAACGTATCTTCCTGATCCTAATTTTAAACCACCAATTGTAGCTAAAGCATCTAGTGCTGCAGAAGGTCTGTGTAAGTGGATTATCGCATTGGACATGTATGATAAAGTAATCAAAGTCGTGGCACCGAAAAAAGAAAAACTTGAAATAGCTAATGCAGAATATGAAGCAACTATGGCGATATTGGAAGAAAAACGAAATGAAGTGAGACAGTTACAAGAAAGATTAGATTCTCTTAAAGATCGATTGGAAGAAACTGTGTTAAACAAAGAGAAATTACTCGCGGAAGTTGCGTTATGTGAAAGCAAGTTAATTAAAGCAGAAAAACTTATAGGTTGGTATTAAACCCTTAAAAACCGTTCATAACCAAACATTTATTTATTAATTAATGAACTTGATTAAAAATTGTTTAGGAAGTCTAGGTGGCGAGAAACATCGTTGGGCCCTACGAGCAGAAGAACTTCAGACTAATTATGATTGTATTCCTGGAGATATTCTTATATCTTGTGGAATAATAGCGTATTTGGCTCCATTCACATCATATTTCAGGTATTTAAATGAATAATGCTTAGTTAATGAACTAACAAATAATTTCATTTTTCTTTTGTAGATCCTCAATAATCAATGAATGGAAAATATTGTGCAATGATTTAAAGATTCCAAGTTCAAATAACTATAGTTTAATTGAAGTTTTAGGTGTTCCGACTAAAATCCAAAATTGGACTATTAATGGCTTACCATTAGATYCATTTTCAATCGATAATGCTATCATTATGGATGGCTCACAAAGATGGTCATTATTAATCGACCCTCAAGGTCAGGCGCAAAAATGGATTAAAACATTGGAAAAATATAATGACCTAATTATTATTAAGTTAACTAATCCAAATTATATGAAAAGTATTGAGGTTGGAATTGAAATTGGGAAACCAGTTTTAATAGAAAACGTACTAGAAGATTTAGATTTGCCCTTAGACCCGATATTGTTGAAGATGGTGTACAAACAAGGTGATTATGTAACATTGTTATATATTATTCTGTAAAAAGAATTAATTGAAAATAAGAATTTAACTATTTATCACTGGCTATTAAAATGTTCACCAAAATATTTGGAAGTGATAATGTATATTGCAAAAGTACTCGTTGATATGAACGAAATAATTTTGCCACAGACATTTTCCAGGAACAGATATTTCCAACTTAAAGTCTAATTTTTGATGTATTTGAATTACACAATGTTGATGACATAGTATTCTAGATATGCTATTTTGCAGATGTGGCTTCCGAACTTTGGTTGGAAAGGGGCCAAGTTATAATCTCACAAAACTTTAAAAAAAAAATTTGATGTCGCTCTGCTGTACAGTTGGTTACAAGTGGGTGACTGTAATGGAAGAAATTACATTTGAATCCAATGATATTATATCATTGTATACGAAAAACGATTCTGAGCGAAGACGGTTTATCTGTCTAGGATATATTATAGATTATTAAAAATTTTCAAATCTTGGATTTAAAAAGAAATTTTTTTATGAATTTCTAGCTTAAAATAATTTCCGAATTTTCATGATTTTTACGTATTTTGTCAAAATTCAAAATTTGAACGCTCGTAAAAAAAAATTGTGCCTATATATTTCTTTTATTTTTCAACTGCTATTGTAAAAATATTTTAGGAGCCTTGTATTTAGTTTTCAAATCTTAGATTTAAAAAGAAAAATTTTTATGAATTTCTATCTAAGATAATTTGAACATTGCTATAATTTTTACGTATTTAGTCAAAATTTGAACTTTAAATGCTTATAAAAAAAAATTGTGTCTATGTATTTTTAATATTTTTCAACTGCTTTACAATGTGTTAGAAGTCTTGTATTAAATTTTCAAGCTTTTCTACCCAACAAATAAATTTTTATCGATTTTTATAGAAAAATAAAACCAAAAAAATTGAAAAATTAAAATGTCAGTAAACAGTTTAAAACAATGTAAATATTTTGAAAATTATATCAAATATATAAAATGMCTATATAAACATTCAGTGAAAATTTCAAGTATCTGCGGTCATTTGTTATAGAGTTACACCAAAATAAAGAAATCGCTAAAAGTGAAAATTCAATGTTGTAAAAATTTAAATTTCAAATGCTCATAAAAATTTAATTTGAATTTACGGTGGATATTTTTGGGTGGTCAAAAGTAAAAAATTCCTAATATTTTTCTTAACAATTGGGATAAACAAACTAAAAGTTAAGGAAAAAACGGGAATTTTTACCTACAATCAATTTTTGACAAAATCGATCTTGGTTTTTGATGTAACTTTAAAACAAATGACTATCGATACATGACATTTTCACGGAATGTTTACATAAGTTTCGACTTATGTTGAACTATTTATAGTCTTATGCAATTTTCGATAATTATTAGTTTTTATTTAAGTTAATATCGATAAAAATGTATTTATTGGGTAGAAAAGCTTGAAAATATTATTCAAGGTTCCTAACATATTGTTACAATAGCAGTTGAAAAATTAAAGAAATTCATAGTCACAATTTTTTTTTTATAAGCATTCAAAGTTTGAATTTTAACAAAATACGTAAAAATCACGAAAATTCCCAAATTATTTTAAACTAGAAATTCATATAAAATGTTCAATTTAAATCTAAGATTTGAAAATTGAATACAAAATTCCTTACAAATTTGTCAATTTTTATCACAAAAAAATGTCCACCAGAAATTCAAATTAAATTTTTATGAGCGTTTGAAATTTAAATTTTTACAACATTAGATTTTCACTTTTAGCGATTTTCTTATTTTGGCGTAACTCTAAAACAAATGACCGCAGATACTTTGATATTTTCTCTGAATGTTTTTATAGGCATTTTATATACTCGTATTTGATAACATTTTCAAAATATTTTGATTTGTTTTGAGCTGTTTACTGACATTTTAATTTTTTAACTTTTTTAGTTTTTTTTTATATTAATGTCAATAAAATTTTATTGGTTGGGCTGAAAAGCTTCAAAATTTAATATAAGGCTTCCAACATATTTTTTCAATAGCAGTTGAAAAATATTAAAAATAGATAGGCACGATTTTTTTTTTATAAGCATTTAAAGTTCAGATTTTGACTAAATGCGTAAAAACTATGGAAATGTTCAAGTTATCTTAGATAGAAATTCATATAATTTTTATTTTTAAATATAAGATTTGAAAATTTAATTCAAGATTCCTTATAAGTTTTTTTACCTTCATCAAAAAAAAAAAAGAAATGTCCACCGGAGAGTAAAATATTTTAATAAGTACTAATCTACCGTGTGTTCAATTTTAAAGGTAACAGGAAATATTTCGAACGCACGACCTTGAATTTGATTCGGGGTTTTTTTACAGGGTACAAAACATTTAAATACATATTTTTTTGGTAAATTTCAATTTTTAACTTTTTTTTATCTGTGCATGCGCAGTAAACTAAAAATTTCTTAAATAAGAACCATTATTTTTGACACTGGATTTGGATTGCTCAATCTTTTTTGATCAATTTTGATCGTTACAGTTTGTTGATATCTTAAAAATTGCCATTTTTATGACGGTCGAAAGTTTTAAATCAGTTAATTCGTAAATATTGCATTTTTCAACGCTTTATCTTAATTACACATTTATAGGTATTATTATAACAATTTATTTTTATTAAAACTACAATGTGTATTTATTATTACATTGAATTTATAAAAAAATATCATTATAATTTATTCGTTGAATAAATCCTAGGCAGATAAACCATCTCCGCTCACAATCGTTTTTCGTATACAATGATATGTATAATATTATTGGATTCAAATTTAATTCCTTCCATTACAGTAACCCACTTGTAACTTACTGTATAGCAGAGCGATATCCACTTTCCCGTTTTTTTTTGAAATTATTATGTTTCTACTTTTCTAGCATAAACTGGATCGTAATTTACTTAACGACAATATTGGTATTTAAAAAATATTAAGAAATCAGCCATTTGACTTAAATTAATATTTTTACCATATACATTTTCCTCAAAATAAGATTTACTAAATGGTTATATTGAATGTTTTGGAATTTTTTTTTATCAATTTTTAAGTTTTTTAGTTTCAGTATTAAAAAATAAAAAATATACACCAACATTGTAGCTTAAGTGTCTATGAATTACATAAAAAACATTTTTTAAGTATTAATTAGAATATTTGTTAAATAGAAGTTATTTCATTTGTCAGATTTTCATGGGACGCCCTGTATATGAGGATTATATGATAAACTAATTTATGAAATACCAATACTTTAAAAAAACAGAAATTAAGATTGTGATTTACATGTTTGATTATTATAGAATTGTAGATAATATATTTAACATAGCATGCAGTTCGAGTTGTTTGTTTTCATGTAATTAAAAATAATATTTGTCATTTTACAGGAAAGTCAACGTATATAGCACTAGGAAATAATGTTATAGAGTTCAATCCAAAATTCAGATTGTATATCACATCAAAGCTTAGAAATCCTCATTATTTACCAGAAATATTTAACAAAGTTACTGTTATAAATTTTGCATTAACCGTTGAAGGTCTAGAAGACCAATTATTGGGAATCGTTGTCGCTAAAGAACGGTAAACATATTCAACRAYATTTATTTGATATGGTAAATATCTCAAATTTGATATTAGACCAGATCTGGAGTCAAAAAGACAACAGTTAATTGTTGAGGGAGCTGAAAATGTTAAAGCTTTATTGGATGTTGAAAACAATATTTTACAAATTCTTTCGGCTCCAGGAAACATTTTAGAAGACGAAAATGCTGTTGATGTTTTAGATAATTCTAAAGTAAATATAAATTAAGTGGAAATTAAATTGCTTTAAATGTTTCAATGATTGACTATATTATTTAGATATTAGCTAAAGAAATAACTCGTAAACAAGCTGCTTCAGTGGAAACTGTTGCAGTTCTTGATCAATTTCGTTTACAGTATAAACCAATCGCTGAACATTGTTCTATACTTTATTATTGCATCACTGATTTACCAAATGTTGATCCAATGTATCAATATTCATTATCTTGGTTTGTCAATATTTTTATTATCACTATTGAAACAGCGTGAGTAAACTTTATTTAAAAAAATTATATCAATTCATATTTATACTTAAAATAGGTAAAAGGCAATAGGTCCACACACTCACACACCTTGTAATTTTATACGTGTTATATTAGAAAATATTTAATTTTTAATTTAGAAATAAATCAAAAATCATTCAAAAACGCTTAGAAGCTCTGAAAGAAACTTTTACTTATAATTTATATGCCAACGTATGTCGGTCATTATTTGAAAAGGATAAGATGTTATTTTCTTTCATCATGTGCACTACGGTAATGCTGTAAGTAGTGATTATTTCATTGTGTTCTTTTGTAATATTTAATGAAGTTTTGTATCGTTCATTGTTGTAGTGCAGAAAAAAAAATCGATAAACAAGAATTAATGTTACTTGTGACTGAGGGTATTAGTCTTAAAAACGATGTTCTTAACCCTGGGCCCGATTGGCTTCATGATAAAAATTGGAATCAGATATGTCTTTTAGATGAACTAACTGAATTCCATGGTAAATATAGATAAAATATAATGTTGGCCTTAATGTACTGTATTGTTAAGGTTTGTTTTTTTAGGAATAAGAGATGATTTTATAAGCCAAGTGAATGAGTGGAAAAATTACTGTGATATGATTGATCACGGAGCCTTAAAATTCCCAAATCCCTGGTATGATAAATTAAGTKATTTCCAACGAATCCTCGTCATACATGCCATTAGGCCCGATAAGGTCATACCTGTTGTAACCAGACTTATTGAAGTAGAACTAGGAGAAAAGTTCATTCATCCACCACCATTTGATATAAATAAATCGTATGGTGACTCAAATTGTCTAAGTCCACTTATATTTATCCTTTCACCTGGGATTGATCCTATGGCGAGTTTGTTGCAGTTTGCAGATAAAATGGGTAGGACGGAGAGCCTTCAAAGCGTTTCGTTGGGCCAAGGACAAGTTAATAGAACATAAATAAACTGATGAATGATGAGATAGTAATTAATCGTAAATATTATAATATTAATTAAAGGGTCCTATTGCTGAATTGCTAATAAAAAACGCACAAAAAATGGGTGGATGGGTATGTTTACAAAACTGTCATTTGGCTATTTCTTGGATGGGACAATTGGAAGTGATTTGTGACTCGTTTGATATTTCCAACGTGAACAGTGAATTTAGACTGTGGCTGACCAGCTATTCTTCAGTGAAAGTAATATAATAATAATATGTTTTATGTTTCATTTCCGGTATACCTAAACTATAATTTTAAAGTTACCCACACATTTAATTTTAGTTTCCGGTGTCCGTACTACAGAATGGAGTTAAAATGACTAACGAGCCTCCAACAGGATTACAAGCTAATATGCTCCGGAGCTATCAGTCGTATCCCGTGAAAGATAAAAACTTTTTTGAAGGGTGTCCAGGTAAGGAAAGGACATTCACAAAACTATTGTATGGAATCACATTTTTTCATGCTATTGTACAAGAACGTAGAAAATTTGGACCCATTGGATGGAATATACCTTATGAATTTAACGAATCCGATTATTACATTTCTATTCAACAACTTCAAGTAAATATCTGCTTACAAATATATTTCACGAGTATTAATTACATAATTTTTAGATGTATATTAATGAATTTGATGAAATACCTTTCGAGGCTCTGAAATACTTAACGGGAGAATGCAATTACGGTGGTAGAGTAACTGACGATTGGGACAGACGTACAATGAATACGATTTTAAATAAATTTTGTTGTCCAGAAGTAGTCAAAAACCCGTATTATTTGTTTTGTGATATCGATCAAAAATATGGAATTCCGTTTCGTTCCAACTACCATGATTTTATTAAACAAATCGAAGTAGGAAAAAATATTATAAAAATAAAATTGTTGTAGGCAACGACCGGTCATTAATGAGAAATTCAACTTTCTTTTTGTAGGAAATTCCAGTCGCCCACAGTCCAGAAGTGTTTGGGTTGCACATAAATTCGGGAATAATCCGTGATTTACAGACCACAAAGTTACTGTTTAAATCATTTGTAGCTATAATGGAATACAGTTGTGGAACAGATGGCTCTGATACGACAGAAAAGGCACTGATAGCGACAGTGTCCGATATACTTTCGAAGCTCCCGAACAATTTCGACGTAGAAGCAGCAATGACAAAATACCCCGTTATGTACACAGAATCCATGAATGCGGTTCTTATTCAAGAAATAGAACGTTTTAACGTACTATTGTCTGTGATTCGTAAAAGCTTACAAGACCTGATAAAAGCTATCAAAGGCGTTATTGTTATGACGCCTGAACTGGAAACTATGGCCCTATCGTTATCCATGGCCAAATTCCCACTACTTTGGTCGAAGTTTTCTTATCCGAGTCTTAAGTCCTTGGGAGGATATATAACTAATTTTATTGAACGACTTAATTTCATGCAAGTAAGTCGCGTTATGTGTGTAGCTTAAATGCTTATAACAATATTGTAGTAGGGAAAACATAACGATTTTATGGTTCAATGATTTGATGGTCAATATTCTGTAATGTATGTTTTTACTTTTTACACATTTGACTAGATTGTTTTAAAAAAAACTATAGATAGGTAACATTACTATTTAAAAATTTATTGATACCACACATGTATCATCTGTCTACGTGAATTAAAAAAGTGTTTTAGTTTTGACTTTTCAAGGTTACAAAATATATTAAATTATACTTCATGGTTTTAAAAAGATTTGGACAAAATAATTTTTACAGCTTTTAATCCGATTAATAGATATCATATATTTTTGGTATTCGTTTAGTATGTTACCTACCAAGATGATAATTTTTTTTTTAAATATTAATATTAATTTTTAGTAAATAACATAAAAATATATTTTGTGTTTTTTTGAATTTCAATCTTATGTAGATATTTAGTAGATCAAATATTTTGTTTGGGGAAAATGTTAAATGAAAGATTAAAATTGTATATATTTTGTAAAAGTTTATGAAAATTACATATTGTATAATAAATTATTTAAGCTTTACTAGTCTGAAAATTCTCAAAAATCATAATTTAAAATAAAGTGTTAAGATTCAATTAATTAACTCTAAAGAAATATGTTGATATTAAAAAAAATATATATTTTAAATATTGATTGGAAAAAAATGTTATTTCACTTGCAAGGTCATTCTGTTAAATACATCATGTATATAAATATCTGATGTTATTTTTTTTTATGACTTACATAGTTTATGTTTTATTTAATAATTAATTGTATTTGAATGATTAAATATTAAATATTTATTTAATGTATAGGTAGGTAATACATAAATTTTACACAAACAATTAAATTTAAAATGTCTAATACAGATTAAAATAATAATATTTATACATTTTTCTTGTCGGAAGTGTGACATTTGTGTGGATAAATGAAGTATTTAAATTTAAAACAATTTGAAGAAAATGATACGTGTTATGTTATTTTGGTGTCAGAATATAAACATTGACAACGGAAGAAACGACAAAAAGCAAGTCCTAAGATGTTTACAAAACATTAACTTTTTCCGGACAGCTGCTAGCCATGCTATATTATTCTAAAATAAATACTTGATACATTGATACATAAATATAACTGACGGAAAAGCAAAATATTTTTAGATTTAAGTTAAATATTTAGATTAGGTAACTTTACAGTGAGAGAGTTAAATATTGTCTTTTATTTGTTTAATGCAACTTACTGCTGGATACTTTTATTACCTATTAAGTATATTCCTTTCGTTAGTTTAGGTTAAAGTTAGTTTTTTTTATGTAAATTAGATTCAGTGATATATTTACCATGTTACATACGTATGTAAATAGATGTATAAATTGTTATAAACAATAAATTTAAGCTACACATTGTCTTCTATTACATTATTTAAGGCTTTAAGTAGGTATACATTAGTAACTAGTCGACATATTGACATAGAAAAATATTTTTTGTTTCTTTTGTTGGTTAAATTTATTTATTTTTAAATTATTTTAGATTTGGTACGACGAAGGTATACCCGATAATGTATGGCTCAGTGGATTATTTTTTACTCAACCGTTTCTTACCGCTGTGATGCAAAATTTTGCTCGACGTTATGCCATACCTATATACCAATTGTGCTTCGATTTTCATGTACAACACTGTGATAAAGTCAACAAACCTCCTGTGGACGGGGTGTATTGTTACGGTCTTTTTTTAGATGGTGCTCGTTGGGATATGTCTAAGTACGTTTTTATATTGAAAAAATTATGAATCATTACTTAGGACGATTGAATTACAATCGTACTAAAAGATTAAGTCATTTTAGATATTTTTTAAATTGTTATATAATTTTGATACCAAAAAGGTAATATGTATTTGTATATTTGTATATTTGAATGTAATTTGCAGGATGGTACTAGAGGAACAATTCCCGAAAATATTAATGGAAGTGTTACCGTTAGTATGGTTTATACCCACAAGAAAAGATCAATTTATCAAAGGAGATAGATATACTTGTCCAGTATATAATACATCGGAGAGAAAAGGAGTTTTGTCTACAACAGGACATTCTTCCAATTATGTTTTATCAATGTTTCTCGATACAAATCGAAAACCCTCTCATTGGATTTTTCGTGGAGTAGCTCTGCTGTGTCAACTGAACGATTAATATTGACTTTCTTACAATCAAAATATACACACTGTAGGTACCTATCTATGTTATATTTTTATAAATTTAATATTTGTAATTTCAGCCTTAAAAAAAACACAGTGATTTCTAGTTTTTTTTAAATATAAAATAAATACATTTAAAATATATATATCATTATAGCTTGTCAGAAGTTGTTATTGGATTTGCATTGGTTTTTGTTCGTTCCTCGTTTTCTATGTTTTTAGCCTCGTCAATTATCCACGGGTATATAATGTATACAAACTTTTCTGGATCTCCAAGTTTTGGTGGTGTGAGTCTCGCTACGCTTTCTTTAGTAAGAGTTTGTTTCTCAATTTCTGGTTTGAGTAATTTTATAATTTTTTTTAACAAAACATGTATTTGCTTTTCATTTGCTTCTTTTTTAAGTTCATTTTGAGGATACATGTGGTCATACCAGAGTTCTGAATCTTCAATAGATTGTGGAATGTTTGATGTTTCCGTCAAATAACGATCTTGATTATTCGTTGTTTTTCTAAATTTTGAATCATCAGAGACTACATCGAGATTTATTTTTTTGTGAACAGAGTTATATTGATTTATTGGTTTCACTGTTGGTGTCAATGAGCTCTTTTTTGTTCCTTTTGTCGTGGTCGGGGTGTAATTATTAATATTATGGTCTTTGTACGTATTTGATTTTTCAGTTGAAGTTGGTATATTTCGGCTTTGGTAATTATTTGAATTCGTAGTTCCATCAGATGGTAAATTATTTTGGACAATGTTTACAGGTATTAAAGTGCTAAAAATGTCATGCAGTGGAATAAACATTGTCGGTGTTGAAAATGATCTAGTTGATTCAAAATGATGTCTAGGAATATTGGCGTTCTGTTTAATGTTATTATTATACTCATTGGAATTCAATGTGATCAGTGGAGTCTGCTCAGTTTTAGTTTCTAATAATATTGAAGTTGTGATATTTTTAATATTTAGTGGTTGTAGATTTGTTGGAAAAAATGAAGTGTAACCTGAACTCGTTGTTTGAATTGTATTGTTTTCATCAGTAATAGATTTTAAATTTGGTAATTTGGTTGAAGAATAATATTTAGAGTGTTGTGGTAACGATTGTAACATTATAGAAGACGTAAACGGCAATATGGACGTTTCTGAAGTTACCGATGGACGTGTTGACGAACTAATCAAATCAATAATGTTATCCTGTTCGTTACTAACTTTTATAAATTTCTTATTGGATTCACTATTTATATTTATTTGAACTGGAACTTTATATGATTTGGAGTGTACAACTGTTTTATCTCTAACCGCACTGGTGGATATTGATATTTTTGAGTCGTTATTTTCACACAATGGAGTTGAAAATATTGAAGTCGTAGTTGTTGTCGGAAGTGTAGATGATTCATTTAAAACTTCAGAGTTTTGTGTTGTTATGGCTATTTCTGTTGATATTTCTCTTATGTTAGTTATTGATGCTCTTAAAATATCAGATGTGTACTTGTCGTTTGAATAATTGTGAGAATTTTGTGGTTCATCCGGTTGGCTCCTTTTTTCAGCGAACAATGAATCTTCTTGATTTTTGTCACTGGTGGTTGTTGATGAATAAGTCTCAACCGTAGTTTTAGGTTGTTTTGTGGCAGATGATTCTTGTGTTGTTGAGCTTTTTTGAGCCAGGTTGAGAAACTCATCGGAGCTCAATGGAACCTGCGAGACTGAGTTGCTATATATTTCAGATTTACTTGGTTCATTCGATATACTCAACGGTGGCAGAGGAGAAACTAGATATGTTTTTGGGAAATTAATTGTGTCTAACGGCTTAGATGTATCGAAATCAATAAAAGTAGTTGACGGTTGAAGGTCTCCAATTTCGTGGGATTCTGTCGTTTGATTTTTAACTGCAGTTATGGTGTTTGGAAGACCATCCACAATAATATGGTCAAGTAATTTTCGATTCATTTTTGAATTCGATTGTTCAATGTTGTCGTATTTTTTTTGATACATTTTTTTCGGCTCATCCAGGTTGAGTCCTACCGCTGATGTGTGATTAAAACCATCTTGGTATTGGTTTAATATTTGTTCTGAGGTATGCAATTCCTTGTCATGCTCCTGGATCACTTCTTGCTTATTTGAGGAAATGAAATTTTGGACATTCATTGGTTTTTTAATTTCAGGATCGTTATTTATTAGCATTGAACTCATAACTCCTGGGACGTTTGTATACCCAATTGGGAATTGAGTTTGTAAAGGCCCTAAAAATCGATGATGGTATTCATTTTTTTGATACGGTATTTGTCCAACGGGAAGTATATGCGTTGTTGCATCAAAGGGTAATGGAATGTAACTCGAGTATATAGATGGTTGATAAAACGGGTTTACTAGGAATGGGTAGATTGACAGAGTTGCGATATGTTCATCGTCTAGCATAGGAATTTTTGAAGTGCTCGTTCGAATTTTCTTTGCAATACGTTGTATGTTTGTTGAACTCGTGGGTGATTGAATGTTTGTATTGTATCTTTCAATATATTTTTCTAACCACGCCCGGAGAATTTTTTCTTCAAATTCTGAAAAACAAATGGCAAGCTTAGTAAGAAATATATTAGATAATTGTCAATACAATTATTATAAAAGCGAATAATATTATCAATCATAACAACACGGCAGTGAACTAGTATAATTTCAATGGTGCATATAAATACTTTTGAGGGTCAAAATAATTAGTTTAATATATAACTTAACTTTGATTTAGATCAAAATTAGCATGGAAAAAATAACGGTTAGGTAACCATATATTTAATGAAGAAATAATAATTTGCAAAAGATATTTTATTGCAAACTTTAAACACAAAGCATTTATTTTATTAAATTTACTAAGAACTTTTAACTATATTAAAACATATATATTTTAGCAATGGATTTTATTTCATGGAAATGTAATGTACATTTTGTAATTAAAAAAGTAAAAAGGAGGAAAGTGGATGTTGCACTGCTGTACAGTAGGTTATAAGTGGGTTAATGTAATGGATGGAATTAAATTTGAATCCATTGATATTATATTATTGTATACGAAAAACGATTCTGAGCAGAGACGGTTTATCTGTCTAGGATATGTTATAGATTACTACAAATTTGCAAATCTTAGATTTAATATAATATAAAAACAAAATTTTTTATGAATTTCTAACCTAAAATTATTTGCGAATTTTTGTGATTTTTACGTATATTGTCAAAATTCAAACTTTGAATGCTTATAAAATAAAATTTTGGTTATATATTTCTTTTATTTTCAACTGCTATTGTTAAAATGGGTTAGAAGCCTCGTATTAAATTTTCAAATCTTAGATTTAAAAAGAAAAACTTTTATGAATTTCTATCTAAGATAACTTGAACATTGCCATAGTTTTTACGTATTTAGTCAAAATCTGAATTTTAAATGCTTATAAAAAAAAATCGTGCCTATCTATTTTTAATATTTTTCAACTGCTATTGCAAAAATATGTTGGAAGCCTTATATTAAATTTTGAAGCTTTTTAACTCAACCAATAAAATTTTATTGACATTAATATATATAAAAAAAAAACTAAAAAAGTTGAAAAATTAAAATGTCAGTAAACAGCTCAAAACATATCAAAATATTTTGAAAATGTCATCAAATACGATAAAATGCCTATATAAACATTCAGAGAACATTTCAAGTATATCTGTGGTCATTTGTTTTAGAGTTGCACCAAAATAAGAAAACCGCTAAATGAGAAATCTAGTGAAAATCCAATGTTGTAAAGCTTTAAATTTCAAACGCTCATAAAAATTTAATTTGTATTTCTGGTGGACATTTTTTTTGTGATAAAAATTGACGAATTTGTAAGGAATTTTGTATTCAATTTTCAAATATTAGATTTAAAAAGAACATTTTGTATGAATTTCTAGCTTAAAATAGCCTTGTATAATATTTTCAAGCTTTTCTACCCAACAAATAAATTTTTATCAATATTAATTTAAATAAAAACTAATAATAATCGAAAATTGCATATGCCTAATATATATAGATCAACTGAAGTCAAAATTTTTTGAAAATTGCATGGTGGATAGAATATACTTATATAAATATTCGGTGAAAATTCAATGTATCGATCGATGGTCATTTGTTTTAAAGTTACATCGAAAATCAAAATCAAAATTCCCGTTTTTCCCTTAGTTTTTAGTTTGTTTATCTCGATTATTTAGAAAAATATTGAGAAATTTTTACTTTAACACCCCAAAGTACCTACTAGATTCACTTTCTGATCGAACGAGGTACTGAAGTCGAAAATCGAAGTACTTTTACTGCCCCAAAACCTGATGACAGACACAAAAAAAAAAAATAAAATAAAAAACACGCATCATGGTAAAATCGTAATTCCTCGCTTCGCTCAGAATCTAAAATTTTATAGGAATAATCAAAAAATATATTTTTAATTGAGTAATTATTTTTGAATTTTATTTTATATAAACCAAGATCAGATGAAGATAAAATAATATCAATTTTTCCAAATAGTTTATATATTTTTTAAGTTGTTATAAAAAAGTAGGTAGTTGATACTAATTTAGTTACTTACCTACTCTATATTATTTATGATTTTATTATGATATATCTTTGTTAAATTAATGTTATTTTTAATATTTGATCATGTTTTTATATAATTTAAATGTCCACGAATACATGGCATTTATAGTAGATAAATTCCTAAAAGTCCCAAGCTTTGCCAAATGTAATTTGCCTAGTTTAACACATAATTTCATTTAAAGCTCTTTATTAGATATAAGACGGATGTTGTTTTGACTGTGGTTCGATTGTTTGTAGTGAATTATGTTGTACCAATATTGAGAACATTATTTAATCGATCATTTTTCGAAATACATAGGTAATTGAATTTGTAGCAGTTCCGTTGAAATTTTCTATTGAACTACATTGTAATGTACCCGTTAAAAAATCCAAACATCTTTACAAATTTAGTTATTAAKGTAAAAAATATAAGATTTGTCTTTTTTTTTTTAAAATATATATCAATTTAAAAATAATAGTTAAATTACTTTTAATCCCTTTTGGTAAAAAGTGTTAAATATTTCTTTTTGCAAATTTGTACAACTATACTTAATAAAATGCTGGATATAATCCAGGGACCTGTAAAGATTCTTGCATAACCACTCATTATTATTAAGTATTAACAAGCATATTTTTAACCCTTTTAACAAAGTTGATCATGAGATTCAGTAAAATGGTATATTTACGAAGTTTTTATTATTGTCAACTTCGTTGTGTATTACTGTTAATCGAACCAGAGTTGGTTTCAAGTCAACGACATAACTGTTTCCATACAAATTTCCCATGGGGGTTAAAGTTTTAGGTATGATATTGGTGATTGTCGCATTTTTATTTTTATCAATATGAGTATAATCAAGAACTTTGAAAGACAACATGGTCATACAAGTGTATTGTTTGTATATATAAATATATATGAGGGGAAAACATTAAAGAGTGAAATATATTCTTGAAAATCTACTTATAATAAATCTGATTATGCATTTTTTGATTGTGGGTGAAAATGAATACAAAATTGAATTGTTTTTAAAATTTTTGTTAGAAAATGATACTTTTGAAATCTAACTACGCATACAATATTGTCTGTAAATACATCGAAAATAAGTCAAATGTAGAGTTTAGTTCGCTATTTTTTGATAAGCAACTAGGAGGTAGGTTATGATAATAGATGATGTTGTCAGTTTATATTTTAAATTTTACGTTTTAAATTTTTGAAATGGAATCATTCAAAAATGATCGTATAGAAATATTTACTGTTAAAATGTTATAAAGATTTTAAAAGTAGTGTGCTAATATTTTCGAAAAATGTATATTTTAAAAGCGTGAAAATGGATATCGCTCTGTTGTACAGTAGATTACAAGTGGGTTACTGTAATGGATGGAATTAAATTTGAATTTAATGATAATATAATATCATTGTATAGGTACGAAAAACTATTCTGAGCAGAGACGGTTTATCTGTCTACGATATATTATAGATTATTATTACTTATTATTAATACTGTAGTCGGTAAGTTTAATTAATATTATTTGCATGTTGTCTTGAAATTATCAGTGATACTGAAAAAATATTATATGTACACTTTTGTATATTTGGAATGTTTTAGAAACTGTGGTGCCATAAGACACATTTTAAAATATTTAACTGAGTAATAGATATGTATTTATATATATTACCTACTAGATCTGCCATAATAACTAGAAGTTAGTAACGACGTAACATTTTACATCTCTAAGTCAAATGTAGATATTTTGTTATGTTAGCATAGTCACTATGATATGCATACATATTACTACACTTATGCCATAGCGCATAAGGAATTCTATCGATTTATAACTTTATAAACACCTAGTAGTATATTATTATGTTATTACTTATATTAGTATTATTAGACTTTTACATACCTATATTTTAAATTATTTTTTTATATATGAACAAAAAATAAAATACCTATAATATAAATTCCAAATTAATCATATCAGATTCATTAGGTTCTTATAACCTGTTATATATCAACAAACCGTAATACCACAGAATAAATTAAATACTAACATACACCACGATGTCAATAAGATTTAGTAATTAATGGTAATTAATAATTAATAATGATGATTGATAATATTTGATAATATATATATGGTATGCAAAAAGGCTAAAGATCCTGGAATCACGTAATTAAGTATTACATAAAAATTATAAAAAAAAAATCATGCCTATGTATTTTTTATATTTTTCAACTGCTATTGTAACAATATGTAAGGAGCCTTGTGTTAAAATGTCAAGCTTTTTTACCCCACAAATACATTTTTATCAATATTAATTTAAAAAAATCTAATAATTATCGAAATTCATATTTGCGTATTTTAAAATTATTTTGTGTTTAGTTGTTGAGTAATACACAACAATATCCGATACTTCATGTCTTATAAATATCAAGGTAATATTTTAAGTGGCTCATAATATATTATTGATTCTCAATAAGGGTTATAAGATTTATAATGGTGTAATATCATTGTATTTTAATGTTTGTTTACCCATATAATAAAGAAAGAAAAAATTATAATTTTATACATATTTATGGATTTACCGTATTTGCTGTATTTACATAAAATAATAATAGGTTTTAATGGCTGAATTTATTTTATAAGTTGGTAAATTACTTTTATCATCTTTAATATAGCATGATTTGTTTGTGATATTAAAATTGTTTAATTTAAAATACAAATCTGATATTGTTTGATTAGGTATCAAAGTGGAGGATGCAAACATTGCTGAAATGAATGGATGAACTCGTATTACATTTTTTTTTTATTACATCTTATTTCATTATTAAATTTTTAAGTTATTCAAACATTCTTCAAATGTAATAAAGAAATGTCAACGCTCAACATATTAATACATCCACTTGACGAAAACCGGCTGTTATAAACTTATTTGCTAGAAAAATCTTATCATTATTTATGTTAAATTTCATTAATACAAAG